GATGGGCGGATGCGTGCGCGCTGTACGGGCTCAATTGGACGCTGAAGGACTAACCCTGCATTTGCCTACACATAAGCGCAATAGCGTGCAGAGTGTAGTGACGGACGCCGACGCTGCTACCACCGTGCCGCCGGTGGACGTCACCTTTGCTGGTGATGGCACCATCATTGCGATTGCCCCTGCCTCCGACTTGTGCCCTGCCATGTGCCGTGCGCTTGCCGTGGTTGCCGATGTGTTGGCTAGCAGGGGGCGCTTACTCAACCTCGGCGTTGCGAAAGCGGCTGCTTTGCTGGCTCGCCGATGAAAAGGAGCGAAGAAGGCGAAGCAGCATGCGTGGCATGAGTGGGGCGGGCATGTGGTAGCGCAGACACAGCACCATAGGACTCTGCGTGCGCCGATTGTCAAGCATTGCGTACATCTTGGTCGAGCTATCTATTCCTAAGGTAGAATGGGGCCCGAGGTCGGTTATCGAGCCAGCAGTGCCACAGCTACGTTGCGGGCGTTGCGCACTAGAGTATTCTCCACCAAGGCTCTTGCCGATTCGACATGTATGATCTTCGCCGACAGTCTGGCGTTACCGGGGCGTCTTCACAATTCGGGCGTTCGGGTTATGCTAACAACGGCGGAACCCTACATGGCCGACGCCGAAGTCATGCAAGTCTACCGAACGGCGGCGAAGGTTCCGGAAGCCGGATCGTGCATAAGTGATGGTCGAGTGTTGGCCAGACTCAGGAGACCCCCGCCCGACGTTCTAAGAAGAGCTGCACGTTTGCGACTCACTTTAGCGCACAGGGGCCAAGCTTGTATTTTCCTTACTACGGGCCGAGTGACACGACACTACTCAGCATGGGCGCCGCGACAGGTCATGGCTGGAGATGGTCATAGACGATTGCTCGTGGCTGCGTGCTGCTGCTGCTGCTGTCGCTTGTGCTTCTCTCCCGCCACCGCTTAAGGGTTTCAGTGAATGGAAGCCCCTCATTCTACGAAAGCAAACAGCTTGAAAACGCATTATCAAGATGGCATTGCGCGCTACGGCCCAATCTCATGCTGGAGATGTTGAGGCGGCCACAGTGGAGTCCAAGTTGCTTCCAGGAAGTCCGCCCCCTGGGAGTGCCAGACCATGTCTGGACGGATGTTAGTGGATTTCTTGTTGGCCCACCTACATGCGCTTTAGCCGACACAGAGGATGCTAGCGTCACGCGTCCATGGTGTGCGCGCGCCTTCCGAAAGCATGGAGCATTACGCGTGCATGTTGCGCGTGCCCACCGGCAGAACGCAGCTTTGGCACGTGCATGGGCATCGCCAGACGGACAATGTCATGCATGCCGATTTGTATTTGATGCTCGGGCACACCTGGTAGGTCACCTAGCACATGTTCCCCCACGGTGTTTTTTTTTTTTTTTTTTACAGATGAGTGATCTTACCACGGCAGTTTCAGCACCAGGTGTTACTATTTCAGGCGGTGCGCCGTGTTATCATATCGCGCATCCTTATTTCTCAGCCCCCATGACAGGCAGGATCCCCGGTGCGCCGTTGTCTCGTCGTCATGATGTTGTGCCGACAGTCCGCGCAGCTGGCCCCATCACAGAGCATGCATATTCGGTGATCGCCACGATGGACCACGGTACTGCGCGCGTGGATATTGCGGCCGCCGGCCCCGCTCTCCCATTTGGTCCTTTTGCGTGCCCACAATATCCTACACCTGTGGCTGCCGCTGATGCGCCGCCGCCACGGGCTGACCCTGTTCAGTGCACAGCGGAGAGATACGCCAGTCTACGATCCTTCAAAGAACGGCACACTGGCATCGCTGCCGAGCCCATACCGAGAGCCGCCAGACGGTTCGAGTATTTTGTCTTGAATTTATTTTGTCGACGGAGGAGGGCGGGGGACATGCAGGCACAGGTTGAATGGGCGCATTGCAGCACCGACTATGCAGTATATGTCCTGTCTGTGGATATATCCATACATGGAGTGGACGGTGATCTCATGAGTCGTGACGCACTCGCCGAATGGAGGTTTCACATCGTTGCACGACGGGTGATGGTGTCGGGTGGCGGGCCGCCGCGTGAGATCTGGTCTGCCTCTCGTTGGGCAGACGGCCAAGGCCCCCCGCCACTACGGACGCATGATCAGTTTTGGGGTGAGACGGCAGTTACTGAGCGTCAGATGGAACAGCTGTGGGTGGCCAATGCGCCATGCCATGCTATGCTTGAGCTCTTCGCGGCCCGCGCGCAGGCTGGCGCATCATGTTGGCTGGGGCACCCCCCAGCCGTGTGGATGGAGGCGCCAAGCTGTCAGCTCTTTTACTTGTCACCCGACGCGGGCTCTCCAGTCGCCCCCTGAGTTGCGATGTCTGATTTTGATCAGTGCGAGCACGGTCAGACGTCGCGGGCCCCCACTAGGATTGCTGCACTCAGGTTGCCTGGACTGCGCGCTGCCCTGCGCGCGACCCATGGAAACGGCAGATGTTCGCCTGGTAGGGACGGACGCGAAACGCTTCCTGGGCATGATAGGGATAGGCGGGAGTGGCGCATCGCCGAAAAGAAGACGTTTCCCGCCGGCCTGTGCAAGTGCATTGCTGCTGCCACCGCTGGCGCAGTGCGTGCCCCGTGGGGAGGGGAAGTTGATAGTGCTGAGGCCGTTGTTCCGGATGACGTGGAGGGGGGGGGGGGGGATTGTAGACTTCGCGATGGACTACCGCCCGGGATCCGCATCCTGGCACGGGCGACGGATGGGCCCCCGACATTGTCTCTCGGCGCGCGCGCCGTTTCCGACACGACCCCGAGTTAGTTCGCTTTCAACCTCTACGTGACCCCCCGACATTGGAGCAGGCTACCTTTCCCCCCTCGCAGGTTCACGACGGCATGGCGGAGGCTAGACCTCCAGGCCCGCCAGAGGCTGACGTGGGGCAGGAACATGTAGATGCACGAGCTTTCCTTGTCGATTCGCAGTGGGCGCCAGACCGCCACCCCCCCCCGCCTGCCCCAGTCCCGCTCGAGCCCGAAGTCTTGGAGTGCATCGCGGAAAACCGCGCGCAGGCACGTGTCAGAAGAGCCGCTGGACTCCGGGAAGCGAGACAGGCTCGCTTGCGCGAGGTAGCCCCGTGGACCCGCGATCCCATGTTTGGCGGAGGCTTGTTCGGATAAGTCGCTGCCTGGGCCCTGGCATCGCTCGGGCGCGTTTTTTTTCTTCCGCGGCGAGGGCCATCGAGGAGCATCCTCGATCATTTGGCGAAAAAAGAAACACGCGCGACACAGAAAACAACACAGGGAATAGACGTCCGAGCGGTGACCAGGGGCGGGTAGGCTTGGGGATTGGGGGTGGGGGGGGGGGGGTCGGGTGGAGGTTCAGAAAAGTCAGGCGCTGTCTCCTCCACGCAGCCGCTCTCAGCCGCTTTCCTTGTGCTTTTCCTCTTTCCGCGCTTGCTTTGCGATGTCGATGTCCTTCCGCGCCGGCGGCGTGGCGGCGCAGGGCCGATGCCATTGCCCTCTCTATGATGGTGATGCTCTCTCTGGTTGAGTTGCGCCAACCATTTGTTTTGGCCACGCCTCTTTTCCGAGTGATCCGCGCGCGCTGGTCGGGACTGAAGCGTTGGATTTTGGTGCAGACACAGGCCGTTGGTCGAGCGTGCGAATGTTGTACACTCCCGATAGCCCATGCCCTGTACAAACCCACGCTACTGGTTTTCGGCCCTTCGCGGGCCATCTCACCTGCTTCCCTTCGTTGTTGTGCCTCCTCTTGCCTCCCCCCTTCTCCTACAGCGCTGTGTTGCGCCATGTTCTCTTTCTATGGCGATGAGGGTGGGGGGGGGCATGGGCATGGGCGGGCGGAACATGTACACCTTGGCGTCCCTGCTGCTAGATACCGCGTGTTTTGCCAGCCGCCAGTGAGTGCAGCGCTCAGCTGACCGTGTCCTCGGCGAATCAGAGCGCAATTCCAACATTCCATTCCTGCTTCTGCTCGCCGCGTGTCCACCATGTTGGCACACCCCTCACGCGGATCGCGGCCCCATGGGGAGCTCCACCGAAGGCCCCAGCGGCAGGCTTTGCATGCGTCCCCCCGTTGATTGCGGCACACCCCTCACGATGTTCGTGGCCACTATAGGGCGCTCCGCCGAAGGCCCCAGCGGCAGGGTTTGCATGCGCACCCCAGCCCGTTTCGGCACACCCGTCGCGAGGATCGCGGCCCCATAGGGAGCTCCACCGAAGGCAGGTTTGGCATGCGTCCCCCTACTGATGTCTGCACAACCCTCACAAGGATCGTGGCCCCATAGGGAGCTCCACCGAAGGCCCCGGCGGCAGGGTTTGCATGCGTCCCCCCCGCCCATTTCGGCACACCCCTCACGAGGATCGTGACCCCCACAGGGAGCCCCACCGAAGGCCCCAGCGGCAGGCTTTGCATGCGCCCCCCCCGCCCGTTTCGGCACACTCCACCGAAGGCCCCAGCGGCAGGGTTTGCATGCGTCCCCCCCCCATGTCGGCACACCCATCCCGAGGATCGCGGCCCCATAAGGAGCTCCACCGAAGGTGCCAACAGCAGATTTGCATGCGTCCCCCCCCCACGTCGGCACACCCATCCCGACGATCGCGGCCCCATAGGGAGCTCCACCGAACGCCCCATCGGCAGAGTTTGCATGCGTCCCCGGGGTGATTGCGGCACACCCCAGCACGAAGATCGTGGCCCCATAGGGAGCTCCGCCGAAGGCCCCAGCGGCAGGCTTTGCAAGCGTCCCTCCGCCCATTTCGGCACACCCCTCACGAGGATCGTGGCCCCATATTGGATGGTGGGCCTTATAAGGGGGCTCCGCCGAAGGCCCCAGCGGCAGGGTTTGCATGCGTCCCCCGCCCATTTCGACACACCCCTCACGAGCATCGCGGCCACACTGGGCCTTCCACCGAACGCGGTACCCACAACGCGGTATTCACAGCTGCATATGGTTGGGTTCATCGCCAGGGTTTTTTTGTTTGTGTATGTCTTCTTCTATCCCTTGCTGCCCGTAAATGTTCCCATTTCTGAGGTGTGGGAATTTGGACATGGACTTGTTTGCCAAGGCTTACTCTTTCGTGGAGGACCATGCACATTGGGGTCGCTTTCGGGCCCTCGACCGCCTTCTTTCTCCTCCTAATCCCTTTTCACATCCTTTCTGCAGCCTCTCTCCTCATCCTCCTGGCCCCATGCTCTTGGTGCTGATACTGTCTCCCCCCTCTTCGTTCTGGATCTCTCGGCCCCCCTCTTGCTCCTCCTTCTTCATTTCTCTTCCGCTTTCCCATTTCCCCCGTCTCTCCTGGTCCGCCCTGTTCTTCCCTGGCTCCTCTTCGTCGTCGTCGTCGTGAAACCCACGCAGCCCCTGTGATAGGAGGTGCGCGGGGTGTGAGGCCAATTGACGGTCCTCACAGGCGAGGCCTAAATACGGTCTTCGCTGGAGGAGGGAGGAAAGGAGAAGCGTTGATGCCCTCGGTGGCGGCGCTCTCGGTGGTGAAGGGTGAAGCTGGTGTCCAGAAGTGGGCTCCTGAAAAGGGGGATTCGGAAAAGATTCAACCAACCACGCCAACGCCACGACGGCGGCGGCGACGAAAACGACGACAACGACGACCGACTCACGACCGATGACCGACGATCACAGACGACAACGGCAGCGGCGGAGGCGACGACGTCCAGCACCCGCGGCCGTCGCCGGGCAAGCAAGTGTGTGCGGTGCCGACGAACAGGCCGTCCGCGGCCCCACCCCCCGACTTGGGCGGACACATGTTTCGATGTTTGCCCAACCTCCCATTATACCGAATGTGTCAGACTTATCTTAAATGGTAGGCTAAAGAGTCCTCGCTGCTTCTCGGTATATTCCCTTCAGTTCCCAATTGTTGACGCTTCGCGTATCCCCACCAGCCCATCCAGAAACGATGCTCAGGGGAGTTGAGGTGATCAGGGAAGTCGGGGAGCATGCAGAATAACAAAGGGCGGGGGAAGCTGTCACAGACCCCGAGAGGGGGAGGATGGAAGAGGAGTCGTCGTCGTCGTCGTCGTCGTCGGAGGAGGAGGAGGAGGAGGAGGAGGAGGAGGAGGAGGAGGAGGAGGACGGAGAAGGAGGAAGAATCGGAGGAGGAGGAGGAGGAGGGGAAGGAGCTTCTTGGGGGTCTTTTGAGGGCCTCTTGGAGGGCTTTTTGGGCGCCTTGGGGCATCTTGGGCGCCTCTTGGGACCCTCTTGAGGCGCTCTGGGGAGCCTTCGGGGCGCTTTTGGGGCCATCTTGGAGGGAGTCGATCAAACAAGAGGGGGGGTTTAATTAGCGTCCCCCCTCGGAAGCCCCTAAAATCGCCTCTTGGACCCCTCTTGGAACGCTCTTGGAGTGCTCTTGGGCGCTCTTGGGGCCGTCTTGGGGCTCTTTTGGGGCTCTCTTGGGGCCCTCTTGGGCCATCTTGGAGCCATCTCCAGGCCTCGGATGGCCATCGGAAGCGAAAAGGCGAGAAAGCAAAAATCATTGATTTTCCTTAGGTTTTGGGACGATTTTGGCCTCTTCGGGGCCTCCTTGGGGAGCTGTTTGGCCACTTGGAGTTATCTTGGGGCCGTCTTTGGGCTTCTTGGAACCATCTTAGGAGCCATCGTGAGCGATCTTGCGCTATCTTGAGCCATCTTGGAGCTCATCTTGGGTTCTCTGAGGCGCTCTTGGAGCCGTCTTGGGCCATCTTGGACGCTCTAACTACCCGCGGCCCCCCCCGTCCAGGTCCAGGGGAGGGGGTAGGGGGAGGGGTAAACCCCTCCCCAAGGGGGAAGAGGGAGGGGTGGAAGAGGATCTGCTCTAGACCACCTACGCCCAGAGGGCTGGTGGGATTCACCGAGGGCATCATATCGGTATCGCATAGTTCTTCTGTCTGGCATGTCAGCGTTTTCTTATGCTTGTACCACCAAGCGGTTCGCCTAACCCAGCAGGTTGGGAGGCGTGGGAGGACAAGCGAGGAGGTCGATGAGTGATGAGGAGGAGCGAGGAGGGGGAGGTGGGAGGATCGGAAGGAGGACGAGGAGGACGGAGAGGAGTGAGGAGGAGAGGTGGAGGACAAACGAGGAGGGGGAGGATGGGGGGCGGAAGGAGGAAGAGGAACGCAGTGCAATTCAGAGCGACGCATTGCGGCGCGATTGCGCTAACGCCAAAATGATTGATGCTGGGTTTCAGGGTATACATCCTGATGGGGAGGGGGTGGGCGGACGAAGACCATGATGATGAGGAGGAGGAGGAGGAGGAGGAGGAGGCGGAGGAGAATGTCGATTCTCAGGACTCCCTGGGGTGAGGAAATCAGTGGTGGAAAGGTTTGCTGAATGCGGAAGGTGAAGAGGAAGGACATCGTCGGCTTAGTGGAGCAGGGAGAGGGTGAAGGGGCGGAGTTTTCGTGCCCCGCGCCTGATCGCCCGGACACGGTTTGGTGGCTGCCTCGGGGGAGAGAGTGAGGGAGGAGGGGGACGGAGGGCGAGCGGGCGCGCGAGCGGGCGGGCTGGCGACCAGGCGGACGGGCGGGGCGGGCGGGTGCGCGCGTGGGGGCGCGCAGCTGACGTTTGCTTGGGCGAGCGGGCGCGCGAGCGGGCGCGTGCGCGGACGGGCGGGCGGGCAGGCGCTCGGGCGGGTGGTCGGTCGGTTGGGCGGGCGGGTTGGCGGGCGTCATCGTCGACATTGTCGTCATTGCTGTCGTCGTCGTCGTCGTCGATGTCGTCATCGTCGTCGATGTTGTTATCGTCGTTCTTCGTCCGTCGTCGTCGTCGTCGTCGTCGTCGTTGTCGCTCGTGTCGTCGTCGTCGTCGCTGCTGTCGTTTTTGCGCGCGTTGGTGTCACGTGCCAAGTAGATTTTGAGTGGCAGCGCCCCGCGTACTCATTCTCTCCTCCTCCTCTCCTCTCCTCTCCTCCTCCTCCTCCTCCTCCTCCTCCTCCGCCGTCCTCCTCCTTGCCCTCCGCCTGTCTCTGTTCTGGCACACCCCTTACACGCTTCGTGGCACCATAGGGAGCTCCACCGAAGGCCCCAGCGACAGAGTCCGCATGGCGTGCCCGCACCCGACTCGGGCAATCAAGGATCCCGGTCATAGCCTATGCGTAATTCACCATATCGTAATAAACGTATGCATAGGTTATGCACAGGCCTATTGTAATTCTACCTGCCAGCTACTTAGGGGTTCACCGTATACTTATGGTAGGGTCAAGGTGGGTCAATGGTAGGCCTACGATAGGTTATGGGTAGGACCAGAGCGGGTTTGTCACAGGTCTATGGCAGACCTACGGTAAGCCTATGGTTGGCCTACCATAGGCCTGTGCATAGGCTATGCATATGCCCATGGTCGGTTTATGCGCAACCCATGCATAAGCCTACGCATAGGCCTACCACAGGGCTAACTACGCATAGGCCTACGACAGTCTTATACATAGGCTATGCGTAGGCCTACTGTCGGCCTACCAATCGCCTGCGCATAGGCCTATCACGGGCCTACCAGTGGTCTAAGCATAGGCCAACCATCCTGCTGTATGCCTACCCGTAGTCTACACTGCCCGAGTAGAGGTAATTGATTAATGTAAGCGTAGACCTACCATCGGCTTACCATAGACCTACCATAGACCTACTATAATTCTGCCATAAGTTTACCACTGGTCTACCATGGGCCTATGCATAGGCAATAGCCAGACCTACCGCAGGTCTATGCATTGGCGATGATTGGGCCTCCGGTAGGCGTATGGTCAGCCACTATTGGAGTCCTATTGGAAGGCGTTGCAATCCAACTTCAAGTGGAAGCTATTACAAAGCGATCCCTATCTGAATCGGTTACACTTTGGAAGCCTTCTGGACACCATTACAAAGGCATCCTATTGGAAGGCGTTGCACTAGAAGTCCTATTGGAAACCATCATAATGGGATCGTATTGGAAAATGTTACAACAGGATTCCGAATGGAAGCCAGTACGAAGGGATCAAATCGGAAGGCGTTACACTAGGACATGGATTGGAAACCATTACGTTGGGACATGAATGGTAAGCGTTGGAACAGGAACCCAATGTTATAAACCGATACGAAAGGATCTTACTGGAAGGTGGCCAAATAGGAATGCTACTGAGCACCGTTGCAACTCGATCCCCTTTGGAAGGCGCTGCAGCAAGAATCGATTTGGAAACCACTACGAGGGGAGCCTGTTGGAAGGCGCTGCATCAGGAATCCGTTTGTAAACCATTACAACATGGCTTTTGTTGGAACGCGTTACAACCGGAATTCAACTGGAAACCGTTACGACGGGGTCCTATTGGAACGCGTTGCCCTTAAGAATCCAAATTGGCACCACTACAGTTGGATCCTATTCGAAGGCGTTACAGCAGGACTCACTTAGGAACCCGATTGGACACCATTGCAAAGGGATCCAGTTGGAAGGCGTTACGCTAGGAATCCATTTCGGAAGCACTGCGATGGGATCAGGTTGGGAGGCGTTCCACTAGGAAATTCTGTGAAAACAACAACACGGGATTTTTGTTGGAAGCCTCTATTACGACGGGATCTCATTTGAAGGCGGAAGGCGTTACACTAGGAATCCACTTGGACCCCATTGCAGCGGCATCTTATTATAAGGGTGCCAATGGGAATCCAAGGGGAGACCGTTCCAAGGGCATCTTTTGGGGCGATTTCACTATATGAATCTAACTCCACCAGCCCTCTGGGCGCAGGTGGTCTAACGATGTCTTTCTTTCCTCTTCCACAAACAAAAACCTCTTCCCCTTTGGGGAGGGGTTTACCCGTCCTCTTCCCCCCTCCCCTGGCCTATTTCGGCGGCGGTCGCGAATCGCGGGTGGCCGGAGGTTCCTTTATCGGCCCTTGGGAGGGCAAATTTTTGAACTTTTCACCAGGATCGTGGCCCCCGAGGGGGGACCTCGATCGGGAGATGATTGCCTTCTCGCCGTTTTGCTTCCGATGCGCTTTGGGGGCCTCAAGATGGCCCAAGAAGGCCCCAAGAGGGGCCCAATATGCCCCTAAGACGGCCCCAAGAACGCCCAAGATCGCCCCAAGAGGGCTCCATGAGCTCCCCAAGATGCGGTTTTCAGGGCCCCAAGGGGGGACC